GGGAAAGAGCAAGCGCATGTGAATCATGGACAGGCACTAATTGTTTTAAATCCTGGTTATCAGCCTGCATTGAACAAAAGGATTTCTGTTAAGAATCAATGAATCGTGTCACAAGAACTAATGAAAAAAATGGACAAGTATGAGTTTTATATAGCTACAATTCTGCTCCATGTAGACAATATCCTTCAGAAGCAATCACCAATCAGACCAACAAGCAGTAATTAAACTGTCCCAATCAGTATGCCACAGGAAATCAAAGGAATGGCTAAAAAAAAAAGTGTTAAACTAAAGTGCTGATGTCTAATATGCCAGAATCTACCTAATATGTAAGAATACCTTAAGAATCTATACATTTATTTATATAAATATATATAAGTAAAACGAAGTTAAGTGCAAGCACTAATGTTGTAGTTAATTTTATTTATTGTGCAGACAATTTTACTTGCATATAAATAAATTATTTTTCCTCATATAATATACAATATTAACTATTTTACTTAATAAATATAATATGAATTATATTTTTTTTTGTTATTCATAATAATATTTTTAACTATTATATTATTATATACAACACACACACACATATATATATATATATATTAAATTCAATAAATAGAATATATTTATTAAACATGACTTTTATATGAATGATGAATCTATATATATATATATTAAAATTTTATTATTAATTAAAAACCAATTATAAAAACAACAAAGCCGTATCACACTAGGTGCAATCAGTTATGCAGATCACACAACGTCATTCAACTCAGTTAAAGGCACCTACATATATGTATACATTATATTAAAATATACATTGAAAGTTTTACTATTTTTACCACTACTGTTTAAAAGAAATAGTTTATAAAATGTATCTTAAAATAGAAATTTTATCTCTTAATTTTTTCTTAATTATTATTTTAAATAAATTATTTAAAATTTAACTCTATTTAAAATAAATATTTTTAATTATTAATAATTTATTGTTCATAAAGCATATTTTAAAATAACCAAATGAAAATGCACATTAATATAATTTTAAATTATTTAAAAATTTCCATATGCTAATAATTAATTTAATCTAATCACTTTTTACTCGTATATTTATTTTATGCATTTAACATAGTAAGTGAATTTTATTTACACAAATAATTAAATGAAAAATCAAACTATCAGATTGTATGTAATTTATAGGATATTTTATATATTAAAAGAATAAAATTGCAGTATTTTATATAGAATGAATAAAACAATGGTTGAAAATTTCAATTTATAAACCCTGCACGTAATATTTTAAAATATAATACATACAAAATTCAAAGCAAGGTTTTTAAAAATTAACAGGCTCCACATTGAGGAGAATTGGAAACCATGTTTCTTACTCATCAAACCTTGCTCTAGATAGAAGAATTTACATATCTCAGGATGTTATTTTCAATGAACTAAAGTTTCCCTACCCAGATTTATTTCCCAATACTAGTCATAAATCTAACCAACCCACCTCAATCTCTATCCCTCTTACTGTCTCTAACATTTTACCCTCTTTGTCCTCTGAAGTCACTAACTCCTCAACTCCCGGATCCCCTTCTCTCATCACTGAATCTCAACCTACATCTCCTTCCTCTATGTCTGTCCTACCTTCTCAGTCTCCTCCTTACAATGTTCACCCTATGCAAACACGTGCTAAGTCTAGAATTGTAAAAACCCGCCTTCATCCCACTTTGCTTCTCACTCATGGAACCTAAATCCACAAAACAGGTCCTGACCAATCCACCTAGCTTGCAGCAATGAAGACTGAATATGATGCTCTTATAAGTCACAATACTTGGTCTTTGGTTTCCTTACCTCCAGATTGTACCCCTGTAAATGGGTGTTTAGGGTCAAGGAAAACCCCGATGGCTCTATCAATAAATACAAGGCCAGACTTGTGGCTAAAAGATTTCATCAGAAGTTTGGTTTTGATTATACAGAGACATTTTCTCCTGTTATAAAACCAGTGAGTATTTGTATTATATTAACTCTTGCTCTTGCACAAGGTTGGTCTATCAAACAACTTGATTTAAACAATGCATTCCTTAATGGGGTAATTGAGGAAGATGTCTACATGACTTAACCGCCTGGTTTTGAAGTTTCAGACAAAACTTTGGTCTGTAAACTTCATAAGGCTATTTATGGCCTAAAACAAGCCCCCAGAGCATGGTTTGATAAACTGCAAATCTACTCTGCTTGAACTTCAGTATAAACCATATAAATGTGATCCTTCACTCTTTGTTTACACCAACAATACTTGCAATGATCTATATTCTTGTCTATGTTGATGATATAATTATCACTGGCAATGACTACTTTACTTAAGTCTCTCACAGCTCAACTCAATTCAGTTTTCTCTCTCAACAATCTTGGCAATCTTGACTATTTTTTGGGAATAGAAGTAAAAACTCAGTCTAATGGATCTTTACTTCTAACACAAAGCAAGTACATTCGGGATCTTTTATCAAAGACCAACATGGAAACTGCAAAACCTATATCTTCTCCTATGGTTGGTGGATGTAAACTCTCTAAAGAAGGATCTGATTATCTTCTTGATGCTACTCAGTATAGATCTGTTGTGAGTGCTCTTCAATATGCATATATCACTAGACCAGAAAGTAGCTTCTCTGTTACCAAAGTTTGCCAACATATGTCTCAACTTTTAGAAACTCACTGAACAGCAGTTAAAAAGAATTCTCAGGTATCTTAAAGGTAACATCTCTTGGGGACTTCATTTACAGCCTGCTAGTACCACTATTCTGCTTTCTCTCAAGGCCTATTGTGACGCTGATTGGGCCTTAGACCCCGATGACAGAAGATCCACCTCTGGTGCTACTGTTTTCCTTGGACCAAATCTTGATTCCTGGTGGTCTAAGAAACAAACTGTAGTAGCCAGGTCAAGCACTGAAGCAGAATATAGAAGTTTAGCCCTTGCAGCAGCCAAAATCTCATGGATTCAGTCTCTTCTATCAGAACTGCATGTCTCATACGAATCCTACTATCTATTGTGATAATATGAGCATAGTGGCTCTTGCTCATAATCCGATTTTGCATGCTCGAACAAAATATATGGAGCTTGATCTTTTCTTTGTTCAAGAAACGATTATCAACTAACATCTACAAGTTTTGTATGTTGCCTCTGATCAGTATGCAGATATTTTGACCAAGGCTCTCTCCTACTCAATTCCTTTTTTTCAGATCCAAGTCCAGTGTGCTGTGTGGTTGACTCTCGGTTCTTACCCTCCTGGGCTTGTGGGGGGAGTATTAGAATAGTATTCTACTATGTATCTTTAGTTGTAATTTTTTCTTTCTGATGTAATTGTGTTGAGCTGTCACTTGCATGACAGCTGTCTTTGTAACAGAATAGTTCTTTCTGTTGTAGATGTGTTGGACCTGTCACTTTCATGACAGCTGTCCTTGTAACAGAATAGTCTTGTTTTTCTTTTATTCTGTGTAGCTATATATAGCTTGACCTTCACAGATTGTAATCACTTTTCATCAATAATACTTTTTTCTTTTCTCTCTTGTTCTCTGAAACTCAAAATAGTATAAGAACAATCATAGATCCACTCTAAAAGGGCTACCCACCATTGATACATACCAAGCCCAATAGTACTGGCCGTGAGAAGGTGTATTGGGAAAAATCCAAGTCCTGCCCATTCTAGATCATTGAAAAAGGTGACCCACCATTTATTCACGTACCAAGTCCAATAGTACTGGATGTGAGAGGATGTATTAGGAAAAACTAAGTCTCACATTGATTAGAGATAACACAATTAAAGAGTATATAAATGGGAGGCAACACTCGTCTTAAAAGCCGGTTTTGTAAAATTGAATTACGCCACCCACATTCTAAGAAAGAGAATATCAAATTCAATTTAAGAAACTGAGGCACATTTTTTGTTATTTATTTAATTAACATATATAATGGGCCTGTTTGATTTTAAAAAACAAAAATAAAATTAAGTACTCTTTTTTTAATAAAATAAGAAGTTCTCTACTATTTTGATGTGTTTGTTTAAATTTCCTTTTTTAAAAAAGAACTCTTATCTACTTAAAAAATTACTTTTTAAAAAAAATAATTAGAATCACCTTTTATAACTCTAGCCCTCGTTAAGTCACCTTGAGCCACTAGAGTAGGCTTAGTAGTGGAAAGTCAGATAGTAAGCATAAGATCCTAGGGTTGAACGATATTGTCGTCATAGTAATCTATCTTACTTATAAAAACTAACTGGCCTAAACTGGGTGTTTTTATTTTAAACAAATAGTATATGAATTTGACAGTATAAAGGTTTTTTTACACACAAATTGTCATACATCAAAGTATGTTGACCTTAAAAGTCACAGAATTTCTGATTGGTTGATTTGTATAGGCTTTTATTCTGTATTGCATTCTTACTATTCACGATATACAGAACAAGTCATGAAATTCTAGGTTTAAATACCCTTATTGATTTTTATAGTTAAAAACATTCCCTTTTAGTCATTATACAAACCATTTTTATTTCCTTTTAGTTCCTGTCATCTATTGCTATAGAACTAAAAATGAAAAGTTTATGAAATGATAGAGACTAAAAAAAACAAAAATTGTATGTATAGGAACTATAATGAAATAATTTTAATTATAGTGATTAAAAGGTAAAGTTCATGAAACTATAAAATCCAAAAAGGTATCTAAACTTAGATTCTAAATATCAGTAGATTTTTCAAAGAAAAAAATGTGTAAATAAACAGATGCGTATTTTAATTTAATTTTGAAAGATAATTAATTACCTTTTACCAACTTTTATAAAAAAAAAATCAAAAAAGGCTTTTATTTTAAGTATATTATTTTTCTAAAATTTAAGTTGAAACATACATGAGATATTAGGCTTGAAGCCCTAACTAGGACATTCAAAGATATATTATTAACTAAAGGTGTCTGGACCAAACAATAAGTAAATATTAACATATTGAGAATTATCGACACCACTATAGATATAGTAAATTATTAAGTATGTGAATTTAACAAATGTTTTTTACTATGTAAGAAGGGAAAAAATACTTTAACACATAGTAGTCAATCCCGGATAGCGGAGCAGAGCGGTGGACCCTAAAAATGGGATAGCAAGATGACGCGGAGCGGGATAACTGCTATTTTAATATTAATTTATATATATTAAATAAATAATAATATATATATATATAAAAGCTAAAAAAACAAAAAATAATTCTAAATTCATGCATTAAAAACAATCTGCTGAATTAAATTTAATCAGAATTTAAAAAAATCTGTTGAATTAAATTTAATCAGAAATTAAAAAAAAATCTGCTGAATTAAATTTAATCAGAAATTAAAAAAAATTCTGCTGAATTAAATTTAATCAGAAATTAAATAAAAAAATCTGATGAATTAAATTTAATCAGAATTTTTAAAAAAAATCTGCTGAATTAAATTTAATCAGAAATTAAAAAAAAATCTGCTGAATTAAATTTAATCAGAAATTATAAAAAAAATCTTCTGAATTAAATTTAATCAGAAATTTTAAAAAAATCTGCTGAATTAAATTTAATCAAAAATTAAAAAACAAATATGGTAAATTAAATTTAATCAGAAATTAAAAAATATCTGTTGAATTAAATTTAATCAAAAATTAAAAATAAAAATCTGCTGAATTACAAAATAGAAAATGAGAAGACAAAAGAAGAAGACAGAACCGGAGGAGCGTCAGACTGCAGGAGCGTCGAAACTGACGGAGTGCGTCACGTCCTCGAGAGAGAAAGAATCAATCGAGAGAGAGAGAGGAGGAGTGCGAGAAACCCTAAACAACAACACTGATTGCGCAAGGGGGAGGAAGAATTAGGGCAAAAAAAAACCCTGAGATGACAGACTTACCCTTAATGAAGGGTAAGTCCAAGACGCGCTGCGATTCCACCATTTTTGGCCGCTCCGCTCCGCGACCGACGCGGCCGCTCCAGCCGCGACAGACCAAAAATTGCGGCATCGGGCCGCTCTGCTCCAGAGCGCCGTGATAGCGGCCGTTCCGACCGCGATTGACAACTATGCTTTAACATAGACAAAAATACCACACTATAATTTATATGTAGGTAGCCCTTTCCGAGACACTTGTGAGCCAGGGGTGACCGCAATTAAGGAGGCTTTCCAACATACTTCCTCACACCCAAGGCTATGAGCCTAGAGCATGGCAATGTAAGTGGCCCAATAATAGATCTAGGATAAGCTCTAACACCATCTTAGAATGTGTGGGCTTAGGGTCCAAATCAATCCCACAAAATTGACTTGTAAGGTAAGGATCATCCAAGTCTCATGAAGACTACACTAGTCATATCTCTAGGTGATGTGGGGAATCTCAACCTACTAAGAGTCGATGTCCTGGTTACTCCACATTCCAATGCTTCACTCAAATTTTCTGATGAGCACTTCCATGGATAGCCTTTTACGAAATACTTGTGGTCTATGGGTGACCGCAATTAAGGCAGCTTTCCGACATTCATATAAACACATACATCTAGTATTTATGTATAATCAATTTGCTCACTAATTGGGAAGCAATCTAAGGCACTGTTGCCTAAGTTGATTAGGGTAAGGATTAAAGCTCCATAGGAGCATAAAGGTTGTCTTGGATGATAATATAACAGTTCTCTGATACAGTTGGCTCTTAAGCTGATATTCATAATCATATCAAATTATCAATACATGTGATTCATGTTGAAGTTGCACAAACCAAATTTATTTAGGCATTAATAGCACTCATAGTAGTCAATCCCGGATAGCGGAGCGGAGCAGTCGACCCTAAAAATGGGATAGCGGGATGACGCGAAGCGGGATAACCGCTATTTTAATATTAATTTTTATATATTAAATAATTAATAATATATATGTAAAAGCTAAAACAACAAAAAATAACTCTAAATTCATGCATTAAAAAAATCTGCTGAATTAAATTTAATCAGAATTCAAAAAAAATCAGTTGAATTAAATTTAATCCGAAATTTAAAAAAAAATCTGCTGAATTAAATTTAATCAGAAATTAAAAAAAAATCTGCTGAATTAAATTTAATCGGAAATTAAATAAAAAAATCTGCTGAATTAAATTTAATCAGAATTTTAAAAAAAAATCTGCTGAATTAAATTTAATCAGAAATTTAAAAAAAAATCTTCTGAATTAAATTTAATCAGAAATTTTTAAAAAATCTGCTGAATTAAATTTAATCAAAAATTAAAAAACAAATATGCTGAATTAAATTTAATCAGAAATTAAAAAAAAAATCTGTTGAATTAAATTTAATCAAAAATTAAAAATAAAAATCTGTTGAGTTACAAAATAGAAAATGAGAAGACAAAAGAAGAAGACAGGACCGGAGGAGCGTCGGACCGCAGGAGCATCGGAAATGACGGAGTGCGTCGGAACTGACAGAGTGCGTCGGAACTGGAGTGCGTCGGACAGAGACGCCCGAAGAAGACGACCGGAGTGCGTCGCGTCTTCGAGAGAGAAAGAATCAATCGAGAGAGAGAGAGAGGAGAAGGAGTGCGAAAAACCCTAAACAACAACACTGGTTCCGCGAGGGGGAGAGGAGGAATTAGGGCAAAAAAAAAACCCTGAAATGACAGACTTACCCTTAATGAAGGGTAAGACCAAGACGTGCCGCGATTCCGCCCTTTTTGGCCGCTCCGCGACCGACGCGGCCGATCCAGCAACGACACAAATCCAAGACGCGATAGACCAACAATTGCTGCGTCGAGGCGCTCCGCTCCAAAGCACCGCAATAGCGGCCGCTCCGACCGCGATGTACAACTATGATAGCACTAAAAGTAAAGATGTATCGTTTAAGTTTAATTTTTCAAATAACAACTAATCATTTAATTTAACCACTGAAATTAGTGGTTAACAAGGTTACTAAATTGAGATTCAAATCATGAATCAAAAGGCCTATTTTCCAAATTGTGAATTGAATTGGATCATGAATCACTAAGATAGATGTCCAATAATTAAAATAACATACATGGTTAACAAATTCATAATTGCCAATTTTAAATGTCACTGCATCTTAGAATGTGTCCGGATATAAATGCTTTGGATTCAAACCTGATTCTTAAGGAAATGTTGCTTTTGCCCAATCTTTATAATTTTCTCAAAATGAGACTTCAGTGTATCCTCCTCCATTGGCCCCTGCAAACGTTGAAACAACTGCCTGGCACTACCCTGCTAAAGATATGAAAGATTTACCCAATTAAAGTTGCAAAATATATTGGTCAAACATAACGTTTTCCCAATGCATCCAAATATACTAAATGAAAAATGAAAGAAATAACACGCCTTAGGAATTCCAGGTAATGTAGAAGGATAAGACTGTGAAGACCCTGAATCTTCAGCACTATCTGCACCATCCCCAGTAGTTCTATCCATTAAAATTTTATGACGCTCCTTGCATTCTTTTGGTTTCCGAAATACGCACTGGAAATATAGTAAAATGTCATGCTATCAGAAAATATCCAACTAAATCCCAAATAACAGCAAATTATAAATTAAATGAAATTTTAGCATTTAAAGCATCATAATGAACACAGCATCAGAGTTTCAAAAGATATGATATGAGAAATGTCAGCAGAACACCAAAGTACTCCCAATTACTAAATGGATAGCCATCCTATGAAGCAGGAGGTACCAATTGGTGGGTGTCAATAATAACATCTTTTAAGATCAATGATTTTCAGTAATGTTCTAATGGAAAGGCACAAGGAAACAGGACCAGCAACTATGGCACCTTTCTTCTAAAACCATGTGTATTTGCACATTATTACCTTGATTTGGAGAGCACTATTGATAGCATCACTTACAAGCTCCCAGTTTGGACCCATATCATGTACCAGGACCACAAGAGCCTGCAACAGGCAGAACAACAATGGTAAGCCTTTTACACAATTCATAGACATTCAAGTATAAAATATTTATTCAAAAAGAATAAAGAAAAGTCAAATAAATTCCAAACAACCTGATCTTCAAATAGTGACCAAGGACTTCCAGAACCAGGCTGTCCAGCAGAAATCTAATAGCAAAAAATAAAACAAAAAAAAAAATAGCAAGATCACAAAGAAAATTTGAAAGCAATGAGCACCCAAATTCACATCAAAATTTACCTTCAGTGCTTTAGCTTTCCGACTCCTGTCTCGCCCACTAATGATCTTAATAAATTTATTAGGATTTGACATGTTACTCATTTGTGAAGCAGCTGGGGAAGGAATAGAATTAGTCATTGGCACAATATTGTCCAAAGGATTTTCAAGTGATGGTGTCAATATCTTTGGCTTCTTCAAACTAAGTCGCCCATGCAAACCTTCAGAGCAGGACATTTGGACTCGTAAATCATGAAGAAAATAGAATACATATGATATACTGATTGTAAATAAAAAAGTTTTGAGATCTATAATAAAATCAAGTAGTTTTACCACTACTTCCATTAGATTCAAAGGGATGACTTTCCCCTCTCCTCTTGCACTGATCCCTCTGCATTGAGAAAACACCACAGAATAACTAATTAGAAAATAATATTCATAAACAGTGCATACAGTAAATTTAAAAATAACTATGGGTAGTTGAGGGTTTAGGTGGCAATCTAGGTTCAAACTGTTATAACAACTTTCCGATGATCCAAAGAAGAAAAAATAAAGAGATAGAGCTACAGGCACACCTTCTGACATGCCAAAAAGAGATACAAAGAGTGTCTTCCATGTGATTGTAATCAAGTAAACACCGGTTTTCCTTAAAAGTTAAAACTAGAGAAGCAACAAGCAGTCAAGCACAGGACAAAAACTGCAAAGTTGTGAAAACAAATTTACCAGGCTTGATAATAAAATTACATGACTGTCATTGGAGTGGGTAAGTTTTTAATAGTTGGGCAACACATGTCCGAAGTATAGCAAGTGCCTAACTCAATGCAAACACTTGACTTTAGATAGGATAACATTAGGTATTTGGCTTCTATCTTGTGCAAAAGCACATAGCCTTTTCAATTGACTTCCCCTACTAATAGATAAGTGTAGGGGCTGGCAGCTTTGTTCCATTGATTTTACCTTTTTTCTGTTATTTTCTATTTTGTACTTTTACTGAGAAGGATATCAACCCTCTTTCTAATTTTTTTTCTGACTTCATCAAATTTTTAGAGATTATCATTATATAAGTTACCCTGGTCATTTTAGATTTCTTTCTGTTTATAAAATTTTAGAAGTTGCATCATTAATGAGAAATAGGAATCAAAAAAATTCTTAGTGACCGTTCTAATTTAAAAATCCATATTGTAACACAAGTTGTAAGATCCTACCAAAAGATGCAAAATTATACATAAAAGATATACAAATGACCAAAAAGATAAAGATAAGGAAAATATCTAGTAAATCATAACATTGAACTAAACATAAACTGAAAAATGAAAATTCATATTCATAGATTTATAATAACTCGTAACTAACAGGTCTAAAACAACTCATAATCGCCACAACTGCACCAGCAACAACAGAATGAGAGGCAGAAGAACAGAGGCAAGTAGCAAGGCAGAACCATAGAAGAACAAAGGCAGCACATGAAAGGCACTACAGAGAGGTGGCATATCAGAGGCAGACAAAGAGAAGAAGCAGCCCAGCATACCAAATGGCATGAACCTGAAGCAGTCAAAGCAAAAGCAAGAAGCAGCAGAGGCTTACAGAAAGAAGAACCTGAGTTTGGGATGATGTAAAAGCAAGGAGAGATGCAAGGACGAAAACAGAAGCACATAAAAGAAACTAGTTTAGGGTTTGCAAAGTAGGACTGGGATGATGTAAAAGCAAAGGAGAGATGCGAGGACGAAAACAGAAGCACATAAAAGAAACTAGTTTAGGGTTTGCAAAGTAGGACAGTTCAGATGATTGGGCTTTAGAATGAAATCTGATTCATAGATCCATCACCCAAGATTGGCATGACTCAGAAAACATGAACATGCACAAGGAAGATCATGAAAGTGTGATCATGAAAAAGACCCAATCCAGCATCTGTTTCAGCCCACAATTGGGGACAATCCTTAAATCTTGCACACAATTTTAACAACAATGCTTTAGTATATAACTAAGTCCAAACTCCAAAACTTTAGACTTTCCTTATACAAGCCCAAGAAGGCTAGATCCAAAAAATATAATATTGGCCCAGCAGCCAGCTCACAATAACCAATGAGTTAGCAAAATTAATCGATGTCTAATGGAAGTTCACAACTATAGCTTCACAGCATATATCAAGAATGTAAATATTCTTAATTATGCTAAAAATACAGCATCATGTTAATGCTACATGCTTAAAAATACTCTGAGAATTTACAGTCAGAAATTCAAGTTTTGTTTCATAATGTTGAAAGAGAAAGGCTGATATTACTTTAAGGAAATTTCATTGTAAAAGAGATTACCTGTTCATTTAGAACAACAGAATCCAACTGCCATCCCTGATCATATGTAGAACCCTGCAGAATAATTGTAAAGCAAATACATTTGAAATACAGATTCTGAAACATTAAAAAAAATAAAATAAAAAATAACCTCCACATGGTCAAAAATAAGCATGGCTTAAGGTATATAAATACAAATTGATTATTACCAGAGTCTTTGCCTTCTTCTTCTTCTTTGTTTTAACAAATATTTCTGCACAATCATAAGATAACTGTTTATCATAATCTGCAACTGACTCCACCTCAGTACTTTTCTGGATCAAGGGTCCAGCATGTAAAGTACTCTGGTCATCATGAAAGGAATTGGTATCACCACTTGAAGCATCCGCCTTAGCATGAGGCTGTACCGTCCCAATGTTGACAGTGAAAGGAGTTACAACTCTATGCCTAGTAGCCGTACGCATGCGTTTTGTTGGTATTGACCCAACATTTAAATTAGCAGGTCTTTTCCCAAGCAGCATGGATTGTTGAGTTCCAGCTGTATAGTGTATATAAGGCAAATCAGCACCAGCATCACCACATCTAGGAGGGTAAGACTTCAAATTTTTATGTTTCTTCTGCACAGATTTTGATGATTTGTTGCCCTCATAGACACTGGGCAAGTAATAAGTGCCGGTTTCTCCGTCTTCCTCGTCATATGCATTCTCTTGAGACCCAAAATCTATTTCAATTGATAAAAGAAAATAGTGACAGGTTCCAGAGTAACCAACAATGCAGTAAAAAATCCAACAATGCATGTAGTCTCAACAGTACCTGCTGCAGTATCATACACAGATGTTTCAACTTCCTCTTGAATGCTACTCCCAGTTTTCTGAAAATTTTTATTCTATTGTTTTAATAGGTTAACTCAAAAAGTAATAGTTCACATAAATTTTTCAACTCAAAAGAAAGAAAAAAATGTCATTCTGGAAACAGCTTTGCCATCCAGGAGGGAACATAGTTAACAAGCATTTTTTTCATCATAAACAAAGTAGCCAAGTATCTTTGACAATAAATTTACCTCAACCTGTAGGAAATGGGATTCGATAGCTCTTCTATATGTTTCCATTGCAGTAGGAGGAACTTCATAGAAAAGACTTTCCTATAAATTCAAAAGACATGTTAAAAGTTATTTGCTTACATTGATTAAACAACAAACAAAAAAAAAAAGCCTTATCCCACTAGGTGAGATTTGCTTACATTGATTATAACAAATAAATAACCAAAGTACTCCACAAAAATTCATCTATTAAATCATAAATATTAAAAAGCCATATCCAATGGAGTTCAAAGAGAATATTGCATTTAGCTATAACATGTTGGAGCACATGAACATGAGACAATCACATACACAAGACACATACACACAGCTAACATCAAAATAAATATTTTAACCAGAAGTATAAGAAATCTTGTCCCATACTTCATTAAGATGCTCATCCCATGACATATCTACAGTGCTTGAGTCGAATAACTTTTCAGGTGTTGTAGGAGCTTCTGCTTGAGAGGAAATTCCATGAGATCTATTAGCCTTTAAAAATCTTAAAGCATATGCATGCACTTTAAATGCAGCATGTTTTATGGGATTTTGTCCATCCAAAAATTTGCTTGTATCCTGACCAAAACCACCAACATTTAAGCATCAATAACAAATTGCTCAAGATGATAAATTGCAGGATGTAAATGTAATAACTAGTTGCAAAAAAAAAAAAAAAAAAAAAAAAAAAACTGATAGTTCTCATTTTGAACCTCTGGTACATCTAATCCAACTAGCAAGTAAAAGACAGGCAGAGGCATCCCTCAAATGAGCATATATAAAGCCAGAACTCAAATAACTACACCATCTAAATGTATTTGAACGAATCTGTAGTCACTATATTCTGGATTCTGCAAAGCATAATATCCAACCAGCTCTAAGGATGTTTTGGATCCACTCTAGCATGATTTCAAATTGAAGTAAACCATATATTACAGTTCATAAACTTAATAAACCAAACCATAGCATTGCTCTTAATTTATTTTGGTTTAAAAATGTAGCAATAGTATCAAATGCCACATTATTACTAATGTATTTTTACTCCTTAATACTTTCAAAAGCTGTTATCTACTAGGGGTGTCCACAAAACTATTTAAAACTAAACTTTTTAAATAACTAAACTAAACTAAACTAAAATAAACTAAATTATTTTTTTAATAGTTTAAACCAAACTATTATTTTTAGTGTAGTTTATAAAGCTAAACTATTAAAATTAATAGTTCAGTTCACTAAAACTAAATACAAGCACCGAAACTGAAACACATTCACGGATTCGGACTCGCTCAACGTAGCTTTCCAAAGCCCCAGACTTTTTGCCAAAAAGTTTCCGAACCAATAGCCAATGAGTATATCTTACGTCTTGTCCAATTAAATTTTTTTTTTATAAGTAATTTAAATACATATTTTAATTATATTTAACAATTCAACATCCATTCTATTAAAATCTATCCAAACGTAACACGAATTCTTAATAACGTGTGTTTGGGTGTAAAATTTAAATAGAATAATTTATTTATTTTAAAAAATATAAAATTTTTGAGGTAGAATATTTTGTTTGAATAAAAAATTTATAAAGAATTTAAAATTTAAGTATTTATAAAATTTCTTGAATAATTTCAAATTCTTTCAAAAAAGTAAGAGTTTGAAATTTTTCATATTTTTTTTCTTCTTATTCCACTTATATATTTTATCTTATCTCTTATTTCTTCATATTTTTAATTATAGTTTAGTTCAAACTCCTAGAACTATAGTGCACTAATCTATATAATAGTTTAGTTTAGTTTAGTCAATATTTATTTTAGTGAACTATTTATTATAGTTTAGTTTAGTTTTCTTCTAGTTTAGTTTAGTTTAGCAATTTGAACACCCCTATTATCTACTAGTAGTATTAAACAATAGCCATATTTTAATACGTTATGAAATCCAAAAGCAAAAGACCAATAGTAAAAACAAAAAGTGTATAAACAAATTTGAAACTAATAAATATTGCACTAATCAATACAACCAGTTTACACAGGCTTGGTTCAGATTTTTTTAGCACCCTTAACCAGCTCTTTCAAATTCTTAAAAGTATGATTATGCCTAGTTCATTATTTCCTACATTATACAGTAGCTTGCTACTGGTAATTAGTAAATTAGTTTGCTATGGTTGCTACAGCTGTAACTAAATAACAGTTGCTTGTAATCATTATATTTATATTTATATATTAATATAGGTGGCAAGCTCTATAAATACAGAGCTCCTACAAGAGCATAACTTGCAATTATTTATGTTACTGTTAATTTCTCTCATTCTCTCTCTAGAACTTTCTCTTTCTGTTAATTTTTCTCTCATTTTCTCAATTACCAAACACTAGTACAAGTTTATATGATTACAGAGCCTGCACATAAATGCAAGACATTGTATCAATTGTGTAGCTTAAGATATAGCACCATTTAACTCAATACTGAATGATTTCCTGACAGCAACTCATTGAACAAATTAGACAAAAGAAATTCATATATCAAAAATCTAGCAATATAATGACCAAATTTAAATAGCATTGTTTTTTTCATGGATTGAGTTAAAAGGACAGAGAAAATAACCCGCTTCATATTGAAATTTCTTCTCTTATCCCTCAAAGCTTCATGGGCATCAACTTTCCCAGATTCAACACAATCAACAATGCAGTCAATACCAAGATCATTGTCTAGAAGAAGCTCAGCAGAATGCCAAAATTGCATGACAGCCTTGGCTATCCTGTGAGACAAAAATTTTGTCCCTAATTGTCTGTTTAGTTTTTCAAATCTTGACCGACAAGAAAAAGTTGCTTGATGGCCCAATTGTGCAGCAGCAGATATTTTCCAAAGACGCTCCTACAAATGCAATTTTAAGGAGGAAAAGAACCATTTCAATGATCACACATATAAAGTTAATAATGATTATTATTTTGATAGTTTCTAAATGGGGAAGCTGCCACAGAAAGTATGAGAGCACAATATCACCAGCAAGTATTAAAAATAAAACCTGTGCAAAATCATTTGCAAGCCATGCCATTTCCTCAAGAACAAAACCCCAGTGTGACTTTCTGTGGTTCTGTGCAGATAATGAGCGAAGTGATAACTCTGCAATTCTCTTCCTCTTAGCCTGTTTAGTGTATCATATCAGACCTTCAAACTTACTGAGCAAACATCCAAATTTAACCAGAAATGTATACACAATAATCACTGAAAATGGAACCAGAAATAGAAACCTCTATAATTTGAGCCTCTTCCAAAATAGAATCTTCACGAGCCTTGTCTGCCAACTTCATATTGTTCGTAGGACATGGTTGATCATCAGAGGTGGTGCCCCTAACCTTTTCAGCTGGAGCAGCCTGAGGAGGTTCTGAAAGTGACACATCCACAGGAACCTGATGTCTTTCACCGCTGGTCTCCTTGAATGAATTGGACTCATCCACTAAAACAGTATCTTTATCAGCTTTTGAAATGGTGCTGCCATTATGACCCTTGATATTTGACATGCAGGATCTGTTAATATGGACATTTTCCTCAGCTTTGACCAAATCACCACTACCAAAATGATTTTGATAACCAGCATCATGCTCATTGCTAACAGTAGCACCATTTTCATTTTCAGTCTTATGCCTAACTTTCACAACTTCACAGCCAGAGAGGTTCAGTTTATTCTCTAATGCACATGTTTGTTCCATGGTATTTCCATTAGCATCAACATTCTTTGTATTAGTACACATATCACTATCCTTATTTACATCTCTACCTAAACTACTTTGTGTGCACGAGGACTCTAAATCGAAATTCTTCTTGCCTAATGTAGCAATGCTATTTTGGCCTTCCTTTGGTACACTTTTCCTGTCTACTTCTACATTGCCAAACCCATTTGGCTGACTATAATAAGGCCCATTTTCAGGTTTTACAGTAGGTACATGAGGTGGAGGCTCACAATTGACAGCAGCTACTGGCTCCCTTATCTCAACCACATTAGCTTCTCCAGAAGCCATAAGAACTGGGATTTTAACAGTATTATCTTCAGAAGCTAGAATTCCATGATTTTCTTTTATGTTTCTATTCACCGTAATATCCAATTTGTCTTCAGGAACACTAGCACTGCCACTAGTGGAATGATGATCTCGGATCCCAACCAATTCATTATTCAGTGTATTATTAGTTGTCAAATTTTTGGTACCGATATCACCATTTAAACTGGAAGGCTTTGGCTTAGATACAGTTGGCAAATTAGGGTTCTTTTGGCTATTTGTTTCACACATTAACCCCTTCACTTCCCTTGAAGCCCCCCGAGGACCGTGAATTGATCTAGATCTGTTCCTTCGTGCATATGGCCGGAAAATAGCAGAATCTTCAGTCTCCTTAGCATTTTGACTCCCTTCAATTTGGGAAGATTGTTCTGATGGAGCAATATTATTCCTTCTATTTGAATGCAGGCACCTCCTTCCAGTTTCAGGCAACTCATTCTCACCATCAAAAAGTAGGAGATTGTCAGCAGTATTAGGTTCACTAGCCAAAGGGGGCCCTGGTCTAGCACTACTGTCAACAGAGTCACCATGAGGGGAGGCAGTCAATGCAAAACTACCTTTTGCTTCACTGAGATCACAATAGGAAAGAAGTGACAGGAGAAAAAATCAAAAGAGCATTAAGAATTAAGAAAACTAATACACTAAAGATACTAAACATGCAAAAAGGGAAAAAACTAGATAAGAATAGTCAACCTGGTCACAAACTGCTCATGAGGCTGATCAGTGAGTGAAGTAGACTGGACACTAACTGAAGCAGCATTCCCAGACTTAAAGTCCAGAGGATTCCCACCCTGCACTTACAAAGTACAGATGCCCATTATTTATATCAAAGTATTGTTAGATATGAAATGCAAAAGATTAAAACTTTCATACTTTTTCAAGAAATTCAAGCTCTCTTCTTCTTTCTTCACGTACATCATACTCCTCTCTGATATTGACATGCAATAGTTATTCTTCATGCATAAGAATGGATTGACAGTCAAAAACATAATCAAACACAGAATGCAACCATGTGAAGGGCTTTCCCATCACCTGAGCTCTGCTTGAGCCTTCTCAATTGCTGCTCTGCGCGGAGAGATCTTCAAACCTATACCAACTCCGCCGTCAACAACTCCTCCCATAGAATCGACCTCAGCATTTACAAGGAGAGCAGATCCTGATTTATATCCATTCATTCCCAACCTCTAATATCTCAGAGTTTCACTTGCCATGTATTAAAGGATCTGCCAAATTTGTGAAGCAGAGGTTAAAAATGGCATAAACCAAATGACAAAGCAATTTGTAGCTACCAAAAGAAATCCATTAAAATATTAGCACATACAAAATAATGTCTCAGAGAATTTTGTTTTTATCCAATGGCATCATATCCATGTGGCCAACCTCACCTAGTGGGATAAGGCTGTCGTATTAAGACTCAACTTCCCATCAGTCAAACATTAGAATGATATTATGTTAACATTATATAACAGAAATAAACAAGGAACACAGACATGACACTAACTAAAATAAATAATATATTCCAAACTGATTTTTTTCCCTACGTAGAGAGGCAAGGAAGTATGCTATTTACAGACTAGCTAACTGGACCCCACCAGGTAGTTAACACATATCCTCACAACATCTTCGGAGCACCAGTCATAAAGGATCAAAATCATTGATATCTTTTACCAATCTGTTATGAAGGGATAGAATCTCTCTAAACCCCATTATGACAATATCTTACTTGCTAACCATACATCTCATTCTCACTACTACAGGGACCGAGCCCTCTGACAATGGATCTAGTCTAATATATAGGCATCCTAGTGCACATACTAACTTGAGTGTTGAAGTTTCTTAGAAAGCACACCTCCTAACACCTACAACCACTGTACTTGGAACCTCTAGCAACCATCATCAGGCTTGAAGGAACCATAAATAAGCAAGAAAGGAACTCCATCAAGTTTGAAATATGTGACCTGCTTTTCAGCAAGGTTTAATTCACTATCTAAAAGGGTTGTGCCAATTAAAGCGTGAACTAAACCCTATCCGAAGCATATCGATGAATTTAGGATGTCAGAAGGACCACCTACCAGACAATGGTTGCTAGTTGCAAGGTTCTTTATTGGATATAAGTAAAAAGGGGGGAGAATGTAGATTGTAGAATGTAGAAATGTGGAAGACATAGGTTATGCAATTATTATGTATCCAGAAGGAAGGTAATTGTGGCATGTTCAGATTTTGAAACATGAAATACATGGTAATATAACTCTACAGCTGAATGAAATTAAAGATCAAGATGGTCATAAATAAGCGGATTATATCATTTATTTAAAGGTAAGCACAACATATATGCAGTCCTATAGGCTACAGGAACATTCAAAATATTTTCCAAGATGAAGGGGTGAAGGCACCTCAGCTTAAAATGTTCAAAGAGGAAAGCAAATGCATAACCAGGCAAAGGCTGCATACTCTTCAAAGATACCAACAAATAGCAACAAGCAAAAGAGTGTGGTAGTTCACAATTAAGTACTAGTCACTAATAAATGCACATATTGAGAAACTACTGCATGCATGAATTTTGCCACCAATGATTGTTTTTCCTTCCAAATTTTCAAACCAACATCGCAAACCAAACGTTTAAGCTCTAAATTACAAACCAGCCACTTCAATGATACGCATGGCATTTAATTTCCCAATATGGGCACACAATTCCCCTGTATTTAATACCACATTAATGCTGAATACCCATAAACAGACAAACCCGAATGCACTTCCAATACAATGCACGACGCATTCCCAACGAGACAACAATCCAGCACAATTCCCCCAACAAAATTAAGCCCTAACAGCACACATTTCCACGAATTCCCCCAATTTTCATGATCCTAGGGTTTCCACGGGAACTCACGGAAATGCCAAAACCACAACAATTGAGGCAAAAGAAACACCTGAGTCCACAAAAGGGTCGCAGAATTGGAAGGCGGGGCACAACCTGAGAGCCCCAAGAGGCCGTTTCAACTCGAAGTTTCTCTCTCCTAGGGTTTTGGAAAAGGGGCACTACGATCACGAATTGGCTATGGAAACTAACGTGTAGCAGCAAATGTCAGCCATGGAAGCAATCCTGAAGAATCCAACGTTGCCAATTTGGGTAATCGTGATGGTGATTTTGTTCCTCTCTTTCGTTCGCTATATTCTGCACGTTCGTTGTTCTTCTTGCGCGTGTGGGTGGAGAGGGACTATGCGTGTTGTGGGCTGGGCACGAAGACGACGACGTATAAGGGGGCTTTTAGAATAAAATTATTATTTTTTTGGATCCCCATTTTGGGCTTTTTATTTATTGCTTCCTTTCAACTTCACGAGTCATTTCTTATTTTCCTATGAAAAATGCCTTATGTGAAGTAAGAACGTAAATAGGTTATATTACAGTTCTAACGCCTAAAGTTTATGTTAGTCAGAGTTAATTTAATTTAATTTTAAAATACTAGTAGATCAAAAGGTACACTTACCCAAGTAAGCAATTATAGTAATTTGTAAAATAGATTCTATATTTAGAAATATTAAGTTTACATATTTACATAATGCATTGAACATTCGCACAAATTATACTTGTCTACGAATTTGTTAAAATAGTATGTAAGTATAGTAATAAGTTAACAAATTTGTTTATATAATTTATGATTATCTAAACATTAAAATAATGTCTATAAGAAAAATAACTCGTGTTATTGTTGTAAGATTAAGGGATGATTTTTATCCCTTAAAGAATATGAGTTTCAATATTAACAAATTAAATATTTTTTATAAACAAATATTTTTTAGATTGTATTAAAAAAATGAATTAAGAAGACAATTAATTATAATGATGTGAGCCTTTCAAGCAAAATATTTTATCTGTCTAAGTTGAATGCATTAAATATATCATTTATAATGTCAAATAATTAGATCATTTTTATTTATGATATTCCTTAACAGATCAAAAGAATAAAAGCTTCTTTAATACTTAAAAATTGGAAAGGAACAAAGATTTGTTTTTCATAGAAGAAACGCACAAGTAGATATCTTGAAGGTGATATGTCATTTCCAATTGACACGTGCAATAATTTCTCATGTTTTGTACCTTAAAAGTGATAGGTAGTCTCCTTAATTAGATAAGAAGTGATAATTTAGTAAAATTCATTTAATGATCGCATTTAATGCACTAATGGGCATCTTATTATACAAGGAAGAAAGCAAAGAAAAACGAAGTAAGCTTGTGAGAGAAACTCAAGAATTTGCAATGTTCATCTTCTTCAAAGCACTTATATAAAGAAGTTTGAAGATCCATGATTAAAAAAAGATACACACAAAAGAAAACATTCTTTGCAAATTCATTCTATAAAACATTATTTACTTAATTATTGTTGTATTACGTCTTGTAAGTATAACAAAACAATTATGATTTCTTAGTTTTAATATTGTATTATAGTTTGAAGCCTAAAAAGACTTTGTTAAAAAAAAAATACTTGATTGTCGAAGCTTGGAGAGGCTTCATTGTTCAAAGAATACTTAGATAGTTGCTTAAAGAGACAAGTCAAAGAATACTTAAGTTGAGACAAAGGTGACTTGTAAAAGAAACTTGTATCTTTGCAAATATAATGGAACTTGATCGAGTTGATCAAGATTTGGATGTAATCTTAGTGGTTGAGATGAATTAGTATAAAAATATTATGTATTCTTTGCTCTTAACTTTTCATCTATGATATCAAGGTTTAAATACTACTTTGTTATTTCAAAAAAGTGTCAAGTTTTTTATTAGCATTATTCAACCCTTCTTCTAGTGTTTTCTTTTCTCCATAATTTGTTATCAGAGTTTAGCCTTTAACAAGGTTAAGCATCTCATCGTGAAAAAGGGAAAGATCCTAAATGTGAAGCAATGAAGGTCAATCTTATTTTAAAGAGCTTTTCTAACAAGGCCTCCAATCTTTAATGGAGAAGATTATCCATATTAAAAGGAAAAAAAAAAGGATATGTTCATTAACTCCACCCAATAACACCTCTAAAACATCATCATATGCGATTATGTTCTTGTGACCAAGCTAAAGAACGAGTATATGCAAAAATATTACAACATCTTGCAACATCTTATGATTGAGCTTACTCTTTGTCACGAACTAAGTTTAAAAAGTTCTTTAGTTGCAAAACTACTCAAGAAATGTGAGAAGTCATTGAGGTATGATGACATAATGCCTCAAAAAGAACTAAACAAAGTGGGTTAGGCTTGAAGAAAGAAGGCCCAAGTTCTTATTGAGTTTTGGGTAATTTTAATAGCTTACTTTCTCTTTTATGTTTATTTTTCCTTGTAAATATTTCTTTTTATTTTGACCTTTTTATTTTGGTCAAATAGTATATGAAATTTTGTCCTTGTACTGCTTTTCTTTGAGGGTAAAATTAGTAGTTTAGGTGAGGTGTAATTAGTTAAAGTCATGTTGGACCTATTGGATTTGGATGGGCCAATTTTTTATTGGACCATGAGCTTGGACATGCACTTGCTTTTACAAGTGGTTTGGACATCCAAACCATGTCCACTTGGCCATCTAAGTGGTCAACTTGTCACATGGCCTTTGATAATGAAAACTCGACAACTTGTATTAGTAATCATTAGTTTTTTAGTTGTAATGATTAATGATTAGGTTAGTTAGTTGGAGTTAACTTAAGATAACCTAGGTTATTCTTATATTCCATAAGTTTCTAAAAAATTAACTAAAGTTGGTTAGCTTAAGTACAAAATAGCTAATCTTGGCTACATTTAACCATTAAGTCTGGCTTGCACCATAAATCAACCAAACTCTATATATAGTTTCTCCTTGTATATGGTTGATCACTTTTGGATGTATATGAGAATAAACCTTTGAGTTTCTCTTCTAAAAGTCTTAATTTTCTTCCTTGTAGAAATCTCTCATTAAGATCTTTTATCAAAGAATTCCTCCTTGTGGTAAGATCAACACTTCTTGCTTATCTTTCTCCCTAGAAAGTGGCGCATCCTTTTCTAATCTTTTCCACCATTTTGTGTTCGATCAACACTAGTTACATGCTTATTTTATTTATTTATTTATTTTAATTCTTGTCAAACATTAGAGTGTTTAAGAGGTTCCAAAGACTTCTTAAAAACACATTAGGCTGCATTTCATTTAGTAAATAGGAAAATTTTTTTTTCTAAAATCTACTTGCATCATGCCTAAAAACACTTCACACACTTCCCAATTTGATAATGACTCTAGTTCACCTCCAAACCTTTTGAAACTCAAAAGTGAACTAAAGGCACTAAAACTTTGTAAGAAAGAGAAAGAGAAAAAAAAATAGAAAATGAAGCTTTGAAGGTTAAATGTTTCCAACTGGATAGAGATTATAGAGAATTCGAAAAGATAAAATAGAAAATTAAAGAGAAAGAAATAAATAAACTCTTTATTAAAATGGTTAAGTTTAAAGAGAAAAATAGACATAGCTCTAAACAAGGTAGTGGTTATACAAGTCATAGTGAAAGCTTTAATCAAAACTATAGTAACCACTAGCATAGGTCTTTTAAACTAGATAGACCTAAGAATAAACATAAAACTAGGGAATCCAAAATGGATCTTTCTCAATTATATGAAATGGAAAAATGGTACTTGTTAAATAAAAAATCTTGTTTTAAGACAATAGACGATTCCTTAAGTTTTAATAATGACAAATAACTTCTCCAAGATTTCTCCGAGCTCTTCTTATTCTTGGTGATCTCCGGCCCCTCATGCTTAGGCATGGTAGACAATTTCCTTTGTCCATGGCCTTGCATGGCCAACCTTTCACCATTGGAATGTTTCAAGCCATCAATTAAACCTTTTTTGAAGGTTGTGGCCTCACCTTCGGCTGAGTCATTTCTAACATCTCTCCTTAAACCTTGTTGGAAGGGAGATGTTCTTGTTGTTAAAATTCTGGAGGATTCTTATCAAGAAGGACTTGCATGATGCTCCAATCATCTTCATGGAAGAGTTTTCTTGAACAAGGGTCAAAGGCCTTTGAAGGTGATAAAATTGAAGGAAAAATTGGCTCAGCTATGGAATCATATTTTAGGATGGAACATCATCTCCCTCGGAATAGGGTTTTTTGAATTTGAATTCAAGCAGAAAACAAATCTTAGAAAGGTTCTTGTAGTTGGTATTTGGAATCTAGAACCTGGCTTGTTAAGGCTGTCACTTTAGAAACCAGACTTTAATCCAAGAAACTTCAAGAATTCTCTAGCTCAAGTCTGGTTGCAAATTTCAGAACTGCCTCAAGAGTATTGGTGCTCTAGGATCATTCTCTCATTTACTTTGGGAGCTGGCACTCCAATTGCACTGGACCAAACAACTATGCAAAGAACTTATGGTCATTTTGCATGAGTTCTTGTGGAGATCAATCTAGTAGAATCTTTACTAGATTATCTTTTGGTAGAAAGGGAAGGTTACATATTTCAAGTTTCATTGGACTATGAAAGGCTACCTGATTATTGTTCATCCTGTCATTGTATTGGTCATGACTCTTTTTTATGTAATTCTTTGAAATATGTAGGTGAGGCAAGTAGGAAACCACAATCTGTTGTTGGTAGAGCATCATGTAGAATTTCGGGTGCTAGTCCTAGCTACCTTGCTGACAATCTAGTTAGTTTATCTCATCTGGAGGGTGGCCCGATTCATTCAGTTGTGGACAATGTTGCTAAATTGACTATTGTTCGAAATAATCATTCACCTATTACAAGAAAGGTTGATGTCGATGGTGCTAGTTTTACTATTGTCACACAAGCTGGTGTTGAATTGATGTTTCAGTTTCACGGTGCATTGTTGGAAAAAGGCAGTTGCACATGTGGTTAATGAAAAATAATAAGAAACCTTGTGTAGTTGGTGTTGGCTTGATGTAGTTGGATGATGCCTTGTCATCATCTTTGGTGATAAGATTAACAAATCGGTGGAGCTTGTCATGAATTTCAAAGTTGTTGAGCAAGTGAATCATGCTGCTACACTTGGACACGTGGATTTAATTGAGGTCTCAAATGTTGCACCTATTGTAAAGGCTACACCTGCTGCAAAGGCTACACCAGAATTCTAGTTTCTAATTCATTCTTAATGCATTCAACAATGAGTTAAATCTGGTGTGGTTATGGAAGATTGTGCAAGCCAATCTCCTCGGGGTCTGGAAAAGGCATCATCCTTAGATGGAATGCCATCCTTGGAAGAAATTTCACATGAAAACAAGTAGAGTCTTCATTTGGATAAGGATCA